AGCCGTGACAGCTAAAAGCCCCAGCAGCTCCTGTCTGCTCTGTGCCTACCCAGGCCTGCTGGCTACAAGGCTCCTTCTGATGCCGAGATGCAACCGGAGATGATCCCAATTAAAGAAGCGAGGCTGTCACAATTTTCAGCCGCACTAGTGAGATGAGAAAACTAATGGTGTCACCGAGTGTCTGCGGGAACAAATTTACAAACCTAATCACCTCCCAGCATAGCCAGGCTGCCAGTGCCTGGAGGAGGGCGATAGGGGAGAAGAAAGCTTTCGGGACTCTTAAAGAATGTTAATTTACACTAATAGGAATCGGATCTGTCCTTGCCTGTAATCAGCAGCAGAACGGAGATCCTCAACTGGAATATTAATGCAAGTGCTCCATGGGAGATGGAAACCTCTCAAAACCTCTCTCAAATGACAAGAATTAAACATTAGAAGAGCAGCCCAGCAAACTGCAATGCAGCTGTGGTGTCAGGAGGAGTCTGCCGGAGGAGGAGGTTGAGAAATTCAGTGGAAGTATCACTGCCTCCTGGTAGTGCCCAGGACCTCTGGCCACTACCTGACACGCTGATTTTTCCCTCCAGACACCATCCCAAACGCGGGTGTGATCTCTTTCTCCTGTAAAATATAGCATAAATGAGCTTTTAATCCTGGGTTGATCAGGTGTATCCTCTGTGAAACCCACTATGTGGGAACAGGATAGAAATTGCTTATTGTGACAGTTGTTGTATTTTGTTGTTCTACATAACTCCTGTTACATTTTTAGGGGAAGGGAAATACCTCTGACACTTCTTTTCAATGAGGTCCTAGGGATTTTGGGTGTTCAGCTTGAGATATGGCATTAAAAATGAGCAGCTCTTCCTGGAAATAAAACTGATGGGGAAGAGACTGACACCAAGAAGCAGACAGATCCAGGACACCACTTGCTGCTGAAGCCTGTGGCAGAAGAGCGGCCTGACGATGAGTTATCACCCCGAGGAACATACTGCAGGTGTCAGGCAGCTCTTTTAAAAGGCATTTTGTTCTCTCGAGTTAGTTTTTCCCTCCGCCATGTGTTTGGCTGCAGGGGTTGCAGAGCAGCAGAACATTTCTGCGGCACGGAGCCACCATGGGAGGAACCAGCCCTGCACTGGGAGACAATCCACAGCCGGATCAGCACTTTGAGTGGAAATGCATCACACTCCAGGTTTCTTATTGAGGCCCAAATGGGGCACTCTGGTCATTCCTGTACATCCTACCCTGTCCTTGGGAAGCTCCTGCTGCTGAGTCCCTCTCCCATGTTCCCTGAAAAGCAAGCAGTGCCCCAAGGCAGGGACGTGCCTTCTGCCCTTACAATACAGAGGGCCAAAAGGTGGAAGGAAAGATGAATTTTCACTTCCCTGAGGACAACCCCCCCCAAAAAAAACCCAAACAGTCCTGGCAGGCCTTGCATGAGAACACTTACCAGAGAGGAGGACAAATGCAAAACCTCGTTAAGAACACACGCAGGTTGGGCAGCTCAACACACAAGCTGAGCCCCAGCCCTGACATTGAGCATCTCCACCCACTTCTCACCCTGCTCCACCACACAGTAGCCCATTGCCTCCCTAAATGGGAACAGGAGTAATATGTGACAACCCAAGAGAGATCCTTTGGTGCTCAGCTATTGATGAAAAGGGATAAGTCTACTTTTTTAACCTTTGAAATTAAATTACCCCCAGTTAAATCTAATGATTTTGGGTTTTGCTTTTTTTTTTCTCTTATTACAGCTAAAAAGTTGACCTGCTGTAGCCTTTTTTAGCAAGATATCTTTGCAACAAACAGGTCAGTAACAAAGCTTAATTTTTCTGTACACTGAGCAGACAGTAACATCTGCATATGAAATTGCAGAGCGCCGACGTCTGAGGCTGCCATCAAAACAATAAAACACGCTACGGAAGGACTCTATTTTTCTCTGCCACTTACACGACAGATCTCCTTAATTAACTAGTTTGCTGGCAGAGAAAATGAGTGAATGAGAGATAAATTGGCTTGCTTTGCTATTAATGTCTCTATTGTTTTCCTAGGTATCAGGGTAATTTAATGTTACTGCAAGTGAGGATTAAAAGCCTCAATTACGGGAAGGCAGGGACACCTGAAGAGGCTGACAAGCAGCTCCGGTGGCTGGGACCACAGCTGGGGATGGAGCCCGTGGTGGACATCACTGTGGGTGCCTGCTGCTCATTGCTGCGGGGACAACGGCCGGGGGGCGGATGGTGGTGATGGTGGTGGAGGGGGATGTTCCTCCAGGTGGGTTCATGAAGATCTGGGCAATACGTGCCCGCAGCCCCCGTGCTGCCTGATGCTGCTGGCCCCGGGAGATGCGGGGGATGCGGGGGATTCTCCCGAGGGACCGGCGGAGGGAAGATGCCGTTTGCGGGCACCAGGCGGAGCTGGTGCTTCAGGGACGGGCGGTGCGGGTACCCACCGCCCCCCGCACCGCGCAGCCCCCGCAGCCACGGCCAGGCTGCAGGAAAACCAAGGAAAACACATAATTTAAAAAAAATAATTTCAAAAGAGAAAAGAAAAAAATAAAATAAAATAAAAAAGTTAAAAATAAAGAGTAGTTGTGGCAAACTCTGGAAAGCCCCGGAGGTGAGGGGACAGGGTGCCCTCAAGCAATATGGCAGAGAAGCAATAGAGGGAAAATCCCATCACTGCTTCAGCTGCACACAGACCAACGGAGGGACCCATCAGCCAGCGACCCAGCACCCTTCCCGTGCCAGTCCCAGCCACGGAGACCCGATGGGTGCCCGGGCTGTGGGTGCCTGGTGCCTCGGTGCCAGGAGCACACCTGGCCCAGCCTGCACAGGAGCTGGAGCTGCTCAGGCTCATCTTTTGCCAAGGGGAAATATCTGGCTTGTGCCCCCCTTACAGACACAGAATTTCTGATACACACAGCATATTTTGCTCCACTGAGCGGCTGCGAAGCTTCGTTTCTCCTGGGGCTCAGCACAGAGCTCAGCACCAACACGGATGAAGAATATCCTGCCTGAGCTGAGAGAAGAAAAACTCCCCCCCCCAAGACCCACCAGTGCAAATCTGGAGAGCTTGGCTGCGCTGGCTGGACTGCCTCAGGATTTACTGGGGTGTTCACGAAAAGCTGAGCTTGGCTCAAAACTCAGGACAGAAGATTGCGTTCAGCATTTGCTTCCCCGAAAGAATCAAGCTTGCCAAGTTCTCTTTCAGAGGAGAGGCCAAGCCCGTGGTGTCACCCCTGACTCCAGTGGCCAGGTGCCAAGGCCGAGGTTGCCCGGGTGGCTGCCTGCCTCGCGGCAGGGTGCCAGGCACGGGGGGGGGGCAGCCCCCGTCTTTGTGCCCGTATCCAGGCACTGGGTAGTACCCCCGCTCCTCCCCAGCAACTTGTCTCTCAGAAATACCACTCTGCTCGCTTCAGAGGAGACAAAAGGCACCGTTTCTGTAGCCAGGGGCTAAAACAACAAAAGCAACAGCAGCCGCCTCTGCGGGCTGGGTGAAGGTGACTCCAGAGTGAGCTCTCCTGCTTCCTCTGGTTCCTGTTGCCATCAGCTCCTGCCCTCAGCACGCACCCTGCTCCTGCTCTGTCACCGCAAGAACAGATTTCCCTCCTCCGACACCCAGACTGTGTGGTCAGCCCAGGAGAAAAGCCTTTCTCTTCGGGCTGGGACTCTTCACCATCTTCCCTTCCAGCAGAACCCCTGCTCCTTCCTGTGAATGGGGTCACCCACAGCACAACTGGCAGGAGCCCCGGGGTCCTGCTCATGCTCCTGGGTGCCCACCACCCTCATAAACACACGTCTCAGAAAATTAAAATCTTGTTTCTCAAGTGCCCAGCCATAATGACCATGCCAGCCACTGTCCATTGAGGTGTCCATCAGAGGAATCGGCACCTCAGCATCTATAACACCGTCACTGATGCTCACAGAGAGGTCAGAACATTTTCCACTGGACTAATTCATTTATATCATCCATGGGACAAATAGATGGTTAAAACCCTTCATTTTCCTTCATTCAGGATTGCCATGCCATCATACCACTCAGTATAACTTTTCAACTCCCTTTCCAGGTTTCCACCGAGACTGTTTTCCCCTGTGAGCTTTGCTGGGACCTGTATGTGGGACAGGAGCCGGGAGACAGAGAAGTCCCTGGCTCAGCCCACTGCCAGCCCCACACACTTCCCATATTTCCTTTTCCCAAGGGGCTGCCAGGTTTAGCTGCTCACCTGTCCTTTGGGGAACAGAGCTCCAGCAGATCCCTGTCAGGCTCTGGTTCCTCTTGCTAGTCTTTTCTTAAAAAAACCCCAAAACTGTAAGAAATGGTTTGGTATGTAAGGAAGAAACATAAAATAAAAGTTGCAGAGGTAAAAACACTCTACAGAAAGTGTAAAACTTCGCTTGTCACCACTGAATCCACCCGGGGAGAAACAGCACCCAGTGCTCTGCACTTCGATACATGGATTTTAAATACTCACTGTTACAAGCGTATTTTCAGGGCAATTTTCCTTCAACGTGAATTTCTTGTCTTCTGTGATCTATTGCAAGCAGGCAAACATCACGTATCATTTTCTTCTCCTTTTTTTTTTAAAATGATACAGCATTTTCCCCACACAGAAGGTACTGACCTTCTATCCTCCTTCTCTCGGGTAACGTGGGAGTGCGCTAAACAGAGTCACACTCAAGCATGACTTGGCATGAGAGTAGAGAGAAGGCCATGAAATCTCTTTTCAAAGCCATTTGTCCCAGGAATCCCACTTCTTAGTCTTTTATTACTGACTTTTCATCCATTCCCACTGCCAGGGCTGTGACCCCACACCCCCACACCCCTCCCAGCCCACCCTCATACACACCGCAGCAAACCCAGAGAGATAACCCACCTGCAGGCTCTCCTCTTTGCTGCTTTCTGCATCGACCAAACATTTTCTCCAGCTCTGCAAAGCACTGGCCAAGTTTCCAGCATGCTAGGGAAGATCAAGGAATCACCCTGATCGATGTAAAATACCACAGTATGATTTATTAAAAAGTCCAAAATTTTACAGAGCCTATGAAAACATGGGGTAATGGTGTAATTGTCCAGGGACTACATGTCCTGTTCAGCTTTCTGCAGGTTTAGGTCCCTGAATCAGAGGGTATGTGAGCATCATTTCCAGGGCAACGCCAGCTGTGAGAGCACAGGGCAGGGACTGCCCTCTTCCCACCTGCAGCTTTTCAGACCAACTTGGCTGCACCTTCAGACTTTCCCAAAATTCTGGGCTTTCCCGAAGCCCGAGCCGCCGTCCAGCAGTGTCACTGCTCTCCAGTCCCACTGGGCTGCACAGCCCACCCGCAGCAGTGTGGGGGCTTTGGACTTTCCTGGGTAAGAAGCTGTGGCAGTGCAGCATGGGCTGTGTCCAGGTGGCACATGTACAAGTGTGAAAACCCATAAAATTCTGCAGAAGATCCTCGCCCGAAGGCTCTGCTGCTGCCCATCACCCTCTGCCTCTCCATCCCCTGTCAAACTTGAGTTATGGTCTGAGAAGAGGCAATGAGAAGGCACTCTCCAAACAAATTCACACTTTTGTGTAAAGCAGAGTTCAGATATACTTAAGGAGAAAATACCTCTTTGTTTCTGTTATTTGGAAGGTAAGTGTGATCAGACTTGGCTTTTCCTTTAATAATTCCATTCCTCTGTCATGCCCTTCCCATCTCATTCCCTTTGAGATTTACTCAATCCTGCTTGAGAAAAGAAAGCTGCTGATCAAGATGAGAGTTATTTCATCATCCGTTGCTGAAACATGACTTCATTTCTCTTGTCTTTTTTACTCTTCAGCATCCAGTATTTCCCTCCAAGACTTCTGTTAATTAAAGCCCAGTTAGGGTTGTCTGCTGATAACTGCACCCTGGTCTAACAAAGCCTGGCCTGTTGCTGGGTGTATTTCACTAGTGTCATATGAACAAGCAACAGCAGGGCTCACTGGAGCACAAACAGCTCGAACTATTGTCTGCAAGGGTTGCCTTTTTGCATGTACTGCGCTGATTCGTGGAAAAGGTCTCTCTAGAAATTTTTTCCTGCAATAGTATTTTAAAAGAATATTCTTACATTTCACATCTTGCATAAAATTGACAACATTGGTAGCTTTTAAATACCAACAACAGGGGAAACAGAAGGAACATAGAGGAAAATTGGCATTACACCACTGTGACTGTGCCACTACCTTGGGCCAATACATCCCGGTGAGGGGTGACAAGTCCCAATGGCTGGGGACATCCTGCTGCTCAGGCAAGTTGCACTTTCTAACCCCACCTGAACGTGTCACTGGGTATTGCTTTCAACATCTTAGAACAGCTCTAGGAGTCATATGGCTTATTCCTATTCATTGCACAATAATCCTCCAATATATCCTGCATTTAAAAAAAAAATAAAGCTTTCTGTAAGTACTGTGTTATTTTTTCTGCTTTGCTCTCACCCTCCTCAGCATCACTCCCTGAAATGAAGGGGCACGAGACACCCAAGAGCACTCCGCTCTCGTTTGGACACGAGTCCACCCAGCACGTTTGTTGTCAGTCATATAAAGAACTCTTCCTCCTCCTCCTCCGCTCTGCTCGTGGGGCTGCCCCTCAGCGTTACTGAGTGACAGCCTGAGGCTCTTTGCCCTGTTCCTCTGCTCCTTTTGGCTGGAGCGAGCAGCAGTGGGGTCCTGTCCCTCCAGGACACGGTGCTGCCGTTCCCCTCCGTGGGTGCTGGTGGCTGGAGGAGGCTGCTCCGCAGGTCCCTGGAGAAGTGGTTCAGGGGGCAGCAGCCACTCGCAGGGGTCACCACGGCGAGGCCGGTGTCGACGTTGGTCTCGGGTGCCTGCCCACCAGCACGGCTCTCCTGGAGAGAAGCCCGCAGCTTGCTGCTCCCCTGCCTGCGCAGGGAGGTGGCATCCCACCCATGCCACCGGGCTGCTGGACCACTGTGAGAAGAGCAGAAGTGCCTGTGGAGGTCACTGCCAGCTTTCTCAGAAGTTAGAGCTTTGCTTTGGTCAGATTTTGGTTTACCTTTCATGGGTCTGACCTCCTGACTTCTCCACCCAGGATTACCTCGTTTTGCGGGGACAGAGTCCTGCAGAATTTTGTCATTGCCTGCATCACTGTGCTGATTTGAAAAGCCAACATTTGTTTGATGGGGCTTGGAGCTGTCTTGAACCTGTTGAAGAAAATTTGGAGAGAACACCATTAACTTATTGTTCTAGTTTGACCAAGTGATGATGCTCTTACCCAGCCTCACTGTGCTGAAATCACCTTCAGCATGAGTGTAGAGAAGAGCACAGGACTCTTACAAGCCTGAAAAACAGCAGATGAGGCAGTGTAGATGATGTGATGCACATGAAGAAAAACAATCCCAGCTTCCCATACAACATGCTGGGTTGTGAGTAACCCAGGGTCTCATTTCTGTGACAGACAGCATGGTGTTAGCAAGCATTCAGTGCCTGGCAGCAGTCTAGAAAGCAAACGAAATCTGAATAATTATTCCAAACAAAACGGAGAACATTGTTATGCATGAGGCAGCTCGGGTCCCAGAGCTGGACCGTGATGCCTGCCCATCACCTGCAGCACACAGCAGAGTATCATGGAGCTGGGAACGCTCAGAAACACACAACAAGGATAATTGCAAGTACAGTAAAGGAACAACCCTATATGCTGGGAATTTTAACCCTGAAAAAAAAAAAAAAAAAAAAAAAACCAAAAAACAGAAAACCAACAGTTTAGGAGGGAGAGAATAAATTGCTAAAACCACCATGAGCCACCTGGAGAAACAGATAAGTGTTGACCATTCCCTGCCATTTACAGTGCAAGAAGCAGGTGGCATCAACTGAAGCCAGTGGGGCCAGTTTCAATTAAAAGAAGGTGGCAGCAGACCCGGGGAAGTCCCTGCCAAAGTATGTTGTGGATACAAAGAGTTCACATGGATTCAGGGGGAGACTAGATAAACCCTTGGAAAGGAGGGTCACTGCAAGTTGCCTCGGCTGGCTGCAGAAGACCCTTGAGTTTAGAACAGGCAGCTCAGGACCGTATTGGTGGGGTGTAACACATGTATGTGCTTATCCTCTTGCTGTTCCTGCCAAGGAAGCCACCTGTGGCCAGCCATGGACAGAGAGCTGTGGCCAAAACCCATTCCAGACAAAAACCCAAACTACCATGTATCATCTATCAAGCTCTTACACCTCTGGGATTTTCTTGATGGCAGCAGGCACATGCTGTGGTACTTGTGGCAGCTTTCAGAGGGCTCTCAGGACTAGTGCACACCCACAACAGATTTGCTGCAGGTGACCTAAACACAGCACACACAAATAGTTGTGCCTGTCCCGAAACCTTCTTGGAGGCATCAGATCTACCAGAGCTCCTTCACATCTGCAAATCTGAACTGGCTGGTTTCGGAAAGAAACTTGTTCAGGAAGCTTTGGATCAAATGGCATTCCTTTGGTGGCTGGGCAACACATGGACCAGCGCTAATCCAAGGAGGAGATACCCATCAGACCAGCAAGGCCAACAGGACAAGGACTTGCTGAGTACATCCCACTTGTTACAATGGAGCACGTTACCCCTGGGGACACCAGTCAGAGAAAGGCACCCATCTCACCAGTTCTCTGCAAGGCTAGAGACATGTTTCATGTCTTTATTTACAAAACAACATCTTTTGTAAATGGTCCTACTCTCCTGCTGAAGACTCCTGCTTGAGTCTTAAGGCTAAACTTGTAAAATTTGAGTCACAGGGATCTCCTGTAAACACTGAGAAAAAGGACATGGAATAGAACAGTAATTAGCAAGCAACTTCAGCAAAAAAGGGAGAAGATGTAGTTTAGTTGCTTCTTTATCAAACTAGGTGGCTTGGGTTATCTCTTCCCCAATAAAACCAAGAAAAGAGTTCTTGCAGGCTCAGAGGGGAACAACTCCATATGAGGGACAATCCATGAGCGGACCCTTAGATCTGGGGGGGGAGGGGGAAAGGAGGAATACATGATTTGGAAGTACTTCAAGATTTACAGTATGAACCACAGAGCTGCAGAATAAAGCACCACGTGGGAGGCTGTCAGCATGCTGCGTGGAGCACCAACACAAGATAAGCATCCTCAAGTCCAAGTGGACTCCAGCTTCCTTCGCCAGGAGCATCGTGCAGCACAGCTACACTCCCAGAAAAGCTTCCTAATTTCCTGCCAGTGAATTCCTATATGTTTGTCAGCTTAAAGGCCTTGTACCTACAGCAGGAAGAACCACAGAGCAGCTTAGGAAGGGACCTCTGGAGGTCACATGGCCCAGTCCCCTGCTCCAGGCAGGACCAACTTCAAAGTCGCATGAAGATGGTCAGGGTCTTGTCCAATCCAAGTGGTGGCAAACCAGTTTGTAAAGTGAGGAGTACGTAAAGACTGCCCTGAGGATTAGTGTTCAGAGTAGCATAGAAATAGGCTGTACACAATAACTAAGCTGATTTATAGCAAATGAGCTCTGGAAAGAAAAGAAAAACACAGGATGGGCAAATTATTTAAATATTCAAACTACAAGAAAAAAAAAATAATCAGAGGTGGGAGAAAGAACACTGAGCTAAACTGCCCCCTGTAGAATTCCCACTATGTATCATCTCAGCACAGCCTTTTTTTGTTATTTGTATTCATACCACCTCTGGACTGCAGAGTTGAGCAGAAAAGGCAGAGGTTTCCTATGACACATTTCTTTAGCGCTTTTGCCCAACTGCAACTCACTCAAGAGCTCACAAAAATGTACTGCAGGCAATGTTGTATCAACACTCTACTTAGAGTACATCCCGTTTTGGATGCTAAAAATCTGCTTTCAAAAACATTTATAATGTAGTGACTTATGAGAAAAAGAAGAGGCTGTTGCCATCATTTGATTCGGGCAGGGAAGGGAAGGTGTTAAACTAGCCTGCTCAAAACAGCATTAACGCTTTCAATTTCAGGCGAGCAGTGAAGATGTTAATTTAACAATATAAAAACATTCCAAGGCTCTGTGCTTATATTTATCAATGGCATCATGGCACTGGCTGATACTGGTTACTGTATTCAAAAATCAAACTAAAACATAAACAAGCAAAATCCTGATGTCCCATTTTGAAACAATCCAGCTTTCCTTGAGGAAAAAAAGTACTAAACCCTACATACCTGAAGGATAATTGTATTTCCTTCGTAGTCCTGGGTTTGCCACCTGGTGCTGCTGATGGGGATACAGGGGTTGGGCAGGAGAGGCACCAGCTGCCCGATTTCTTGCACCTTGAACTGCAAAGCGGACGACTCCTTTGGCTCAGCAGCCACCCCGACGGGCAGCTGCTTGAGGCAGAGCTGCACGGCAACCCCTCGGGTCACGCACAGCACAAAGACACAGAAGCTGCTGTTCTGCACACTCGCTTCTTTCTGTAGGATCATCTCGTAGAGTCTCACTGCATCCTCATAGTTGTCGAAGCTGCAGTAGAGGGTGACGCGCAGGATTTCGGGGCCGCAGTGCACCCGCCTGATGCCCCACACGGGCAGCTGGTCCTCCAGGCTGTAGAAGTCCTGCTGAGCTGGGGCATAGGGGTGGCTTTGCCCATGAGCAATCTGGGCACACTGGTAGCGCCAGGGCGGACGCTGGAATTGCTCGTGGACCTGGAAAATCCGTTCTTCTCCCAAGTCCTCGTGTAGAAAAAGGAGAACAGATATTCCAGGAAAGCCACAGCTTCTCTTCCGATATCTCTCATAGTATTTCAATGGGGTAACTCGCTCGGACACCAGGAAAAGGTGAATGTCTGGGCAGATCCACTCCAGAAGCCGATCCAGAGTTTGCTGCAGAAGCAATGAGTGACCCGAATTGGCCAGAAGATGCACAGTCATCAGAGAGTCTGTTCCCTCATCCATCGCAAAGGCTCCTGACAAAACATAAAAGCAGACAGATTGGTGCCTTCCCTCCCCTCCTCTAACTGCTGGAGCCTCGGTAAGACAAGGGGTGTACTGCAGGACCTCGACAGAATGCACTCAATCTTCTGCAGGCTTTGCAATAACCTGCTGAAATGCGGGTGTAAGCACAGTAAATGTACACGTGGAGGCGGGCGAAGAGTGACGAGGCGTTGTGTGACCGGTGCCAGGTCGCCCTCACCACAGCAGAGCTCAGCTGAAGGCTCGTTTTCCGACTCCAAGCCGTGAGCTCTGGTCACCATGTACACACGACCAAACCCCTCCGTGCCCTCCTGCTCCTGTCCTTCACGGCACGGGGCAGCAGAGATGAGGAGCACCGAAACCCAAAGGCAGTCATTCCCCAGGAGGAGATGATGTTGTAAGTACACTTGCCTGTCAGCAGTGGAAAGGGACACTCCGGGTCTGGCCGAGTCCCCCTGGAGACCATCTGGGTGCGACCACCACCTTTCTCAAAGGCGATGTGGCACTCCTGCTTGGAAACCTCGGCATATTTTCCTGCAGTCAGCAGGCTGGCTTTAGCTCGGTGCAAAAAGCTTGTGATCTTTGCGAGTCACGCCCTTCTGGGGCATAGAGATAAGCTATTCTTTAAAAACAAGGAAGGAAAACAGGCTAACAAAAGAAAAAAAAACCCATGTGAACACAAGAGATAACAATAGGGGCAGATATGAATCAGCCTCAGGAAAGAGGAGCGTTGGGAAAAATCCTGGTTATGCACTTCACACTCAGGTAGCTCACTGCCCCGCTGGAAACCAGCTCCCAGGTTATTACAGAGTCAATAAACGCTGCGTACCAGGCTTCACCCCTTCAGTGCCCTCTGTGCCTCTTTCCTCCTCCTCTTTTTTTCGTTTTAATGCTGAGATACCCATGTAATCAGCACCCTGAAACACTGGGTTTTTTTCCCTTGCTCCTTGAGTTTACATATTGGTACTTCACTTAGCTACAATAGGAATGCTGAAAATACACCTCTTTCCAAGCCTCTCTTAGATCTAGAAAATAAATCACACTGTCCCTTCATCTCCTTATTTTACAGACCCAGGAGCAAGACATACAAGTCAAGCCAACTTCCATTTTCTACACAGAACTGCCCCCACTGCAGCCAGTATTTCAATCAAAACTGGGGCCTCCAATGATGTATCCAGCTCCATCTAATTATTATCAACACATCTCTCTCTGCTGACTGACCAGCTTCCCTCTCAAACAGTCTAGCACACAAAGCAGTGGTTCACCGTGCAGAAATCTCAGCATAAATAAGTCTGTTATTCAAAATTCTGAACTATTTTTTTTTTTTTTTTAAATACAACCCTAGCTTTAGAGTCAACTGAGAACATCTCCACAGTCTTAAGGTACAAGTAGCGGCGACTGGGTTTCCTTTATGTAGCAGATCACACTCACTGATAGAAATACACATTCATGCTTTAAAAAAATCACCCTGACACCGATATACAGGAAAAAAGAAGGCTGACTAGAAAATGAGGGAAGAAATTAATTTGCACTGATAGAAACAAACCCACCCACAACACTTCTGAGCAAGCAACAACCGTTGGGAGGGAGGCAAAAAAATCCAGCCTTCGGACAATTGCAGGAAGAGAGTAAAGAGAAGAGCGCAAGTGCTCAAAAAAATTACAGTGCTCTAGATGAGCTCTGGACACCACCATTTTACTGGAAAATGGAAGAGGAAATGATTATTCAGCTCTTTGCTCCAGGGCAGGGGCAAGCAGCCATCTGCCTTCCTGCGTGTGAGGGAAAGGGGAGCTTTGCCTGGACGGGAAAACACGGAAACTAAGAAAGTTCACGGGGGCTGGGTTTGGAGCTGGAAGCACGAGCTGGGGTTCGGGGTCCCTGGTCTGGTAGGAGGCAACGGTGCTGGGCACCGCAGAGACACCTGGCTGTGGTGGCAGCAAGGCACCACCCCTCCGGTGCAAAAATCCACAGAGCAGGCAGCAAGGCACCACCCCTCCGGTGCAAAAGTGCCTGTATGTTGAATAGTATGTGCTGTTCCAGCTGCCCCCTAGTAAGATGGATGTGGAGATTTAGGGAGAAAGCAGGAGGAGGAAGACAATAGTAATGAAAGATCCCACTTGGGTGTCAGGAACAAGCAGATGAAGATCTTCAGCCTAGAGAAAGAACCATGGCAGGATATGCTATAGAACTATAAGGTTATGAATGGCATCAGGAGGGTAACAGGGCAGCTGTAGGCTAAAATACCCTCCCAAAAAAGCATGGAAGAGACCACCTGCAGCCAGCAACACGTATCTCCCAGCAAGTGAGGAAACACTGCTCCACAGGTGTTGTTAATCCAGCCACAAGGCACTGTGATACCAGAAGTTTTTTGGGATTCAGAAAGCGACTGAGCACACGCTCAGGTGCAGGATTTGCCAGATGGCTACGGGCTGGGCAAGGAGTCTGGGGACACGCTGCAATGCCTCTGGAAACACAGAGCACTGGTTCCACCGTGGCCTCTCCTCCCACGAGCAGGCTCACCTCACCCCGGGCCATCACCTCCCTTGGGCTGCTCCTGCACCGCAGTCCCGGTACCTGCCCTCCATGTCCCCTTCTCCCACGGAGCAGAGGACATCCCCCCCTCCATCACTCCTCCTCCCACAAACCCTTCACTGGCACGTGCCGGGGTGGGATGGGGAAGCACTCTCACTTGGGAGCTCTGACTGATGTAACGGCCTGAAGAACATTTTCAGGCCAGCTTCTTGGACCCATAAGCTTTCCAGCAGCACCAGGCCAGGAGGACCCACCAGGTATCACAAGGAGCATGGGATGAACCGAACATCAGCTGCTTTTCTCAGAGGCACTGAGAGGGTCTCGGTGGGACAGGGGTGACTGCCATCAGAACAAAGCCTTGGCTTTTGCTGGATCTTGTAAGAAAAGGAAAGTGCTGGTTTCACTCTGATCCCTGAACTTAACGAGCCCTCGCCTTCCCCTCTCCTTCCCCTGCCCCCAGCTTTCCAGTCTGGCTGCCAAACGGAAAAGCCCATTATTCATAGTGACCTACTGAACGCGGCCAAGAAAGATTTCTTTAAGAGATTAGAAAAATAGCAGTTCAATCTTACGTGAAAAATCACTCTGCTGAGGGGAGGGAAAAAAAAGAGATAGGATAATTAAAAAAAATATATATATTTCCCATTCCCACCTGGTAGTGACTGGCAACCCAGCAGGAGCAGCAGCAGGCTGCTGGGGCAGCCCAGCTCTGTGTAAGAGCAGCTCAAATGTGAATATTTGTTTCTACCACTAATATATACACCAGGAAGCCCTGCATAAAATAAAGTAGTCCAAACGCAAGCAGCTAACACACGCTTCATTGTGTCAAGCCTCAGAGAATACTGCCTGCTGTATGTTTAAAAATCTCACTGTGGAAAGGCGCAGCAAAATAATTAAAAATTCCTTTTCATAATGAATTCTTAAGACGCGCCTAGTCCTCTGCGGTGCTCGGAGCCCCTCGCTCTGGCTGACACCAACAAGACTGATGATGCGTCACAGGATTTAATAAGTTCATAGTAATATCTGTAAGGAAGTGACTTTATAAGGATTTTAGTTTTGTATACCAGCACATAATTAACTTCAGCGAGACGGGGTGTCAATTACCCAAGCGTCTCAGGAGCAGGCCTCATTTAATACATGTAATGTCTTGGGCTCAGTCACTTTTAAAAGACCTTTTTTTTGGTTTATGCCAATGTTAAGCTCTGCCTATAACAAGGACAAAAATACTAAATTAACCTGCTAGATGAAAATTCTCTGCAGCATAGACAGGACTGAGACAAAGATCAGGATTAAGGTCTTGAATGCAATAAGCTTTTCAAAGAGTTTGTCTCTCGCTCCTAAACCTTGTGACTCTAATTCATCATCACTTCGGAGAAAAGTACAACCACCAAAGAGCAAAAAACCATCTAATCTACTGCATTTATGCGAGCAGACTTCTGTCCCGAATGGTTCTTGTTTCTTCTTTCTAACCAGCTCAAAAAAAAAAAGAAAAGAGTAGGAATCCAGGGAGGGTCTGGCAGCAGAGAGGGAAGATAGAGAGAGCTCCACCACACACAGGGAACCAGGATCCAAGCACATACACACATAACAAAAAGAAAATTAAAAAAAAAAAAGAAAAGAGTAGGAATCCAGGGAGGGTCTGGCAGCAGAGAGGGAAGATAGAGAGAGCTCCACCACACACAGGGAACCAGGATCCAAGCACATACACACATAACAAAAAGAAAATTAAAAAAAAAAAGAAAAGAGTAGGAATCCAGGGAGGGTCTGGCAGCAGAGAGGGAAGATAGAGAGAGCTCCACCACACACAGGGAACCAGGATCCAAGCACATACACACATAACAAAAAGAAAATTAAAAAAAAAAAGAAAAGAGTAGGAATCCAGGGAGGGTCTGGCAGCAGAGAGGGAAGATAGAGAGAGCTCCACCACACACAGGGAACCAGGATCCAAGCACATACACACATAACAAAAAGAAAATTAAAAAAAAAAAGAAAAGAGTAGGAATCCAGGGAGGGTCTGGCAGCAGAGAGGGAAGATAGAGAGAGCTCCACCACACACAGGGAACCAGGATCCAAGCACATACACACATAACAAAAAGAAAATTAAAAAAAAAAAGAAAAGAGTAGGAATCCAGGGAGGGTCTGGCAGCAGAGAGGGAAGATAGAGAGAGCTCCACCACACACAGGGAACCAGGATCCAAGCACATACACACATAACAAAAAGAAAATTAAAAAAAAAAAGAAAAGAGTAGGAATCCAGGGAGGGTCTGGCAGCAGAGAGGGAAGATAGAGAGAGCTCCACCACACACAGGGAACCAGGATCCAAGCACATACACACATAACAAAAAGAAAATTAAAAAAAAAAAGAAAAGAGTAGGAATCCAGGGAGGGTCTGGCAGCAGAGAGGGAAGATAGAGAGAGCTCCACCACACACAGGGAACCAGGATCCAAGCACATACACACATAACAAAAAGAAAATTAAAAAAAAAAAGAAAAGAGTAGGAATCCAGGGAGGGTCTGGCAGCAGAGAGGGAAGATAGAGAGAGCTCCACCACACACAGGGAACCAGGATCCAAGCACATACACACATAACAAAAAGAAAATTAAAAAAAAAAAGAAAAGAGTAGGAATCCAGGGAGGGTCTGGCAGCAGAGAGGGAAGATAGAGAGAGCTCCACCACACACAGGGAACCAGGATCCAAGCACATACACACATAACAAAAAGAAAATTAAAAAAAAAAAGAAAAGAGTAGGAATCCAGGGAGGGTCTGGCAGCAGAGAGGGAAGATAGAGAGAGCTCCACCACACACAGGGAACCAGGATCCAAGCACATACACACATAACAAAAAGAAAATTAAAAAAAAAAAGAAAAAAGAAAAAAAAAGAGAAAGCAATACAGTTAGAAAGAGGAGAGGGAGGGGAGGCTGCAGGCTGCCTTACCTCTCAGAGCTACAAGGAGGCTGACCCAAGCCACAGCTCCGACCCGGCAGCAGCATCGGCGCAGCTGGTGGTACCTCCTCCCGTGCCGGGACACGGCCACTGGAGACTGCTGCCGGCAGGAGCACTGCGCCGGGAGACGCAGGGGCAAGGTAGGGTTTCAAGACTCCCGGGAGATAAAATGCAAACTATAACGAGAGAGGTTCCCTCTGCCGCTCGGCCGCCGTGGCTGGGGGAACAGGCACCCTCACGGCGGTACGGGGCACGCTCAGAGGCACCACCAGCATCAACCCGCATCTTCCCTGCACACTTACTGACTGCATTAACGAAAGTAAAGCAGATAAGTTCTCCTCAAGCAACACAGACCTGGGTGCGAGGCTGGGAGAGCGGCACTGAGACACAGAGAAGGGAGATCGCTGGCAGCAGACCAAACCATGACCCTGCCAAAGCCCGTGTCAGAACTGCCAGAGACTTCGAGGCAACCACATTGGCACCTGAATGCTCTCTCAGGAAAAGGAGAGCCTCGACTGAGGACTGTGTTTCCAAATACATACCGGCTTCAACAGGACCTTGGAAACCTCACGTTAAACCAGAGCCACTGCAGTGATGCCCCCCAGGCTGATGTCACAGCTGCCGACCCCAAACAAGCTCCTGGGATGCTTATCAGGGGGAGAGGCAACGGGGAGGGAGGAGGATGCTGCAGCCCCTAATGGTGTGGGGTGAGAGCCAGTCTGCTGGTAGCACCGACTGCACAGCAACACAGCCCTCACCCCATCCCTCCCTTCCTCCAGCCCCTCTTCTGATGCACAAGTTTCTTTGGAGAAACTCCGACAGGGTTCCTGCACCGGTGTTGTGCCTGGGCTCCCAGCAATGGGCACACCCCGCCTGCCCCAAAAAGCTGTGACATATGCTTTGCCCTCTGTAGCTTCCTATTAGTAACAAATACATCATTAAAAGGCAGTGCATGTCCCTGCCTGGCTACAGACATCCCACCACAGCCACAAAACCAAAGTTTGTGAATTTGGATTTATACAACCTGATCGAGACAGCTTTTGTATTCAGCTCCAACCAGATTTGGGCTTTGTGCCCTCGGCAGGTTATTGGGCCCTTGTAGACTGAGAGATTCTTCCTCAGTTTTCAGTTTGGTTAAAACGTTTCCAAAAATCCCCAAAGCGCTCCATACACACAAACCAAGATCCACTAAACAGAATGAGCCAATAGGAGGGTACATCAGAAATTAGCATTAGGAAACTGTGTCAAGTCTGTGGACTCACTACACAGAGCCAAGATCTAGCACTGACCTGAGACAGTGCCTTCGGGAGCCCCTGCCTACAAGCCAGCTTGCCTAGATGAGAATTTAAATGCCCAGCTTCAGAGACTCATTCCTGAAAGATTTAACCTAACAAGTTAAAGTTACACTTCCACTAAAAGCCTTCCAGAAGAAGAAAACGGGTACACCTAAGTAAAACTGAGGCTTGCAGGGCCCATTGAAGTGTTTATTTAACCAGCTTACATTTACCATTCTTGAGGACAACTCAAGGCAAAATTCTTGGAAGACCAGCAGCAGATGCCGAGAGAAACTGCACCCAACTGAGCGTTAATAAGAGCAAGTCACCAGGAGATGGTGAGCTCGCTAACGAGTCCAAGCTCCAGCTTAAGGAACAAGGGAGACCACGCAGTCTGAAGGCTTCTAATTACTCCCTTTCCTGAGGACAGCCCTCCTGACATACAGAATAACGCACCCCAAATTCTAATTAATAAAAATGGTCTTGGCCCAGGTCCCGCATTATGTTGGAATTGCAGATTTGCATAATTAAGTTGATAACAAATGCTGTGACAGACAAGCTGCAGGAGATTATTAGCCTCATCTTTAACAGAATTTCAAAAGAAGCAATATCCAGACATTGAACAAGGAATATTAACAGAATTGGCTCACAAGGTCTTGGAAATGGGTGTTACTGGGATTTGGAGCAAAGGAAAAGCAGTGTGTGAATTCCAAGGCCAGAATGAGGTACTATCAGTCTCTAATGAAGCTTCACCTTGAGGTCTTCAGGATTTCCCCTCCCATTGTGGCTTTTCCTCCCCAGAACAGGGCTGCTAAAGGCTATTCATAAATAGCAAATGGAAGTTCACCTTGTGGATCCCCCTTCCCTCCCAGCTTCTCCTCAGGCAAACAGGAGCACGTAGCTCCCAGACTCCACAGCATTAGTGTGGAACGAAGCAGAAATATTGTGCTGCAGAACCACTGCTTGTGAGTGTACTTCCCTAAAACAGCCAGGCTGTCCTTGAAAAACCTGGCTTAAATCCCAAGGCTGTAAAAATAAAGAAATTCACATTAGACATAAATACAGTAAACTCCTTAAAGCAAGAACCAATGCTGCGTCTTTCCACATAGAGGATAATTACAATATGATCACAACTGAGGCTCCTGCTACTAACCCAGTGAGAATAATAAATAACTCAGATTAAAAACATGAGATTAAAAAAACTCACCAGAATAAAGATGATCCTAACAGCCCACCTAGAAAGTAAAATTGTTCCTGAGTAGTAAGACCGCATCTAACTCGGATTTTCAGAGCACAATTGTCACTGAAGCTAAAGTGCAGAAGATACCAAAGAAGCTAAAGATGCCTAAGTGCAGAAGCACAGTGATTTGAGAAACTGGAGCATATCTCCTACCCTTTGGAATAGTAGTTTCACTCTTTTCTGTCTATTATTCACCAATTCATGTCTAAAACCTAATTTTTCTGTTGCTCTTCATTTTCTGATGCCATTATTACCTTTGCAGACTAAGTGTAAACTATTATTCCATGTTGATATTATTCTAGATCACAACACATGGACCAAACAGAGACAAGTGCAGTTTCAGCCATTCCCCCCTCAGCTGGGTGCCAGCTCAGGAAGGGCTGACAGTAGGCTTAACCCGAATCGAGACTTCCTAGAATTAGAGTTTATACTCACTGCTTTGGGAAATCTGCTTCCTGGAGAAATGCAGTTCCCAGCTCCACCCAAGGAGAGCAATGAATAGCAATTCCTTCACGGGATCAAGTGACTGAGATACCTCTCTTTGCTGAGCACCCAGAGCTAAATCACACACCCTGGGACCTGGGATGAATTCCTAGAGATTTCAACAGGCATTTTGCCCAGTTGAGGCCGTGACCCATAAATCGAACCACGGCAACGGTGTTGGTCAACACGTGGTTATTACAGCACTGTTCAGACAAAACTCCAGCATCGTACCGTGTCAGCAGGAGAAAAGCACCCACTGTGAAAATGTAACAGGGTTCTTGCAGAAGAAACCAGTGGGTACCTGTGTCCTCAGCACCTTTGCTCAGAGCATCAGCGCTGGGTGGTGTGTGAGGTAGGGGCAGCGAGTGCCACGCAGGCACCCAGCAGTTGGTTACAGCTGCCTGAGGCCACCCCACTCCAACAAAACCACACCATCAGAGTGACTCTGCCCAGCACAGGGCTTGACATCAGGAGCCTGTATAAACTGCAAAACTGTAGTTCATTATTAAAACAAACCATTCATGGACATGAAACACGTACAGGAGATCCCACGCCCTGCCAAGAGCTCAGGAAATACTCCTTTTGGCAGGGCTAAACCCCTTCCTGATTTTCACAATACATGTTTCCTTACAAAAGCTATAACCAGTGAGATTCAGTGCTGTCATAGCCCATAACTGCAGACCAACCGCTGGAACAACACAGCTCAGGGTGCCAGGATTTCAGTCTAGACAGGAGTTTGTTAGTGTTTTTCTATTCATTTCCTTAAACCCCACTCCAAGTTCATGATGCACAAGACTCGTGGTACATGCTTTCCATCATTTACAGGACGTCATGGCTGACTGGGGAGGTCTCAATGGACTGGAGGGTGGCAAACGTAACACCCATCTACAAGAAAGGCAAAAAGGAGGATCCAGGAAACTATAGACCTGTCAGCCTGACCTCGATACCAGGGAAGGTCATGGAGCAGGTCATCTTGAATGCCATCAAAACCCATCATGATTCATGATCATGATTCTATGATTCTATAGTTCACCTTTAGGAAAGGGGGTGAGGAGAGATGCTTCGTTCAGGAGTAACGTGGCATCCAAGGCTCAGTCTGCTTTGCAGACGTGCTTAAATGCAATGGTTCGGTAGCAAATGGGGAAATTGTACAGCCTAATTATAGGAGACAAAAAGAGCAAATCAAAGCTGTCAAGGGAGCCAACACTGAAAAGAGCAAGAACTGAACCAGGAATATGCAGGAAAATCGTGTTTGTTATGATGGTAAATGAAGTGTACTCTCGACCCTCTAAAATACACTTGTCTACAAGGAAAGTACATGCCCACAAAACTCAACATCTAATTTAAAAATTTCTAAAAAAATTTAGATATTCTGATTATATCATGTTTATTATATCATGTCACTGCAAAGGTACCAAACTTATTAATAATTACACTCAATCATGTAAATACAATCCTGCTGATGAAATTTTAATAAAATCACAAAGAAGCTTTAAGTGAAAAATAAGAAAGGAAGCAAAAATTCAATTAGAAAAGGCACAGCAGAATTCTACTGTGGACCGTAAAAGAAATCTCAAGAAAGAGCATAAAGGCATGAGCATCAAACTCACCTTAAGCAGGGTCCGAGTGACGTCTTGTTCCCTCTGACCAGAGTTTTCACAGTGTCCATCTTTAAATCCTGGGTACCGTGACCACGTTGTACAGGGGTAAAAGACACATTCAGGTAAAAGGCAACTTCAGCAAAAGTCCCTTCCCGAATAATTACTGTCTTCCAAATTCTATGAAATTTAAAATGGAAACTATACTCTTAGTAATTGTTCCTGAAGACAGCCATCAACACCCGTTGTTCTTTCAGCAACACTCTTGCCCACGAAGCTTGTAAAAGAAACACCCTTCAGCACCTAATTAGTCATTCATTTAACACTCAGGCTCAACACTTCCAAAAGGCACCAGAGGTAGAAAGCTTCGGCTGAGGGACAACCACAAGTACAATCGCATCACTTAGGACAAAGTCCTCCTGCCACAGAGAGCAACACCATTATCTCTATAAGCTTCACAGGGAAAAAAGACACGGAGCCATTTCTCCCTGCAAGGCACACAGGAAAACATTAGCATTGCCAAC